GAGCAGTTGCATGCTGCAGTAGATCAAATAAGGTGTGTTGAAGGTGTTTTCCCTTGTTTACATTCCCTTGACTAAGATAAAAGTGTTTACTTTAACTTATTAGTGTGCAAACTATAAAAACACAGTTAACTGCAAGACAAGATAGATGTAGAGTGAGAATGTAGGAGCGTGTATGAGGAAAAACTGTGTAGGTGTGAATATTTGCTTGTGTTTGTTATACAAAGTCTAAGAAACATAGTGTAAGTGAAAGAAAGACAGAAACAGAGTGCAATAGGGTGTGATGTGCACAGAGGAGTGTGTGTGTGTGTGTGTGTGTGTGCAGCACTTATTGACTCCATATCTATTTTAATGCAGCATGAGATGGATCCTTTGAAACGCTGCTCGTATAACAGACCATCGCCAGCCATGAATTGCAGAAACATTTTTCAAGGGTGCATTTATGTTCAAGGTCAGGCCAGCTGCTAGAGTGTGTTGTCCTAGTTTGTGTGTGTGTGTGTGTGTGTGTGTGTGTACATGCGTGTATGTATGTGTAAGAGAGAGAATGTGTGGACTGTGAAAGTGTATACGTGTGAAAGAAGATTTGTGTTCATGTCTGTTTAGCAGAGTGTACTGTAACTGTGTTTGCATTTAGTTTGTTGCATGCTAGGCTTGGAATAAAACTTTGAAACAGAAGTACACAGAAAAACGTCTGCTGATGAAATATAATAAGCCATTAAGTTGACAGACAAACAGGTTCCAAAACAGACCCATATATATATACACACGCAGAGAAACAGAAGAAGTGAGACTGACAGAAAGTCTCAACAAACGCACGGCTCGTGTTTACCATGTTGACAGTTGGTTACCGTAGAGACATCATAAGGGAAGTAGAAAGAGGAAGAGGTGAAGCTGAGTGCAAATCTACATAGACTAAGATTTTATGTCAAAGTATAATGTAAATCTGTTACTATAATACTGTTGGTACAACTAAATGTTTTTATCAAAAATGTGATATCAATGCTCCAAAAACGTGTGTTTGTTTTTAAATGACAGCAGCTCATATACAAGCATGGGAATACATACGTATTCTCTGTAACAGTGATCCAAGTCGCTTGCCATATTTAAGGAATTGAAGAAGAAGGTGTCAAAAATGCATAAGAAAAGTTTTGTAGAGTTTGTAAATTGAGAATAACATGTTTGTTCTTCGACTCCTGTGGTGTGCAGTCCAACATAACTATGAACCGGGGAACATTTTCATTACCTGCAAGAAATAACTTGGTGTTATATTATTAGTCTTTTCACTTCCCTTGACTTTCCCCTTTTTCTCTCTGCCTGGACAACAGCATTAAGTTTAAATAAAATAATTTAATTAATTAAGTTCAAATTTTCTCACTGCAGAGATAATGCTAGTCATGCACTATCCCTAAACACAGTGCACACTAAACAATCAGTATGACTAACTGGAATCTACCAGGGAAATGTGGAAGAATCAGTGTCTCATTACTTAACAGCTTGGCTGTGTAACGAGCCAAACTTCCAACAACTTGGTGCATTCCTTTTAAAACTCACCATCTCCCACACTCACCCACACACTGGTGTGTGTGGTGCCGTAACTTTAGCACTAAAAATACAAATAAAACCAGTGCCTGCAGTGCAGTCAGGCACATTTGGCAAAGAGCGGGGCTTCCTTCTCCCACTCTACTGTACATATCAGCTTGAACCGAACTCATGAGGTTGTGAGGGTGTAACAAACTCTTGCAAACTCCTTAATATTAAAAATTGAAACCATTTATGAGCAACATTAGGCAAGTTACTTGAAATGTTTTAATCAATTTTTCATTACATATTACTTAGTAGTAGCCACATTACTTTGGTAATTCCTCAATAGCAGAAGTAAATACATCACCTAAGCAGTTACATTACTTGCAGCTCCACCAAAGGTTCATTTAAACAACTCCAACGTCTCCACACCTACACATCACATCTTCTGTTTCTTAGGGGATTCATGCTTGATCAAAAATATTTATATGACACATCAAAAGCTGCTTTATTAAATTTGCCATTGCTTTTCATTTCCGATTCTAGACCAAAAATGAACGCATGTGACTCCCAAAATACACCTTTTTCACCAACGGTTGTGTTGTTATAAAGAAAAATTTATAGTGTTGTATGCATGTGAATTTATACTGTTAATAAACCACAGGGTTACTCTGAAAAGTTGTGAACCCTCCTTCTTTGTCCTCACTGTACAAGTAGTTGCTCTTGTTCCACAGAGCCCCCTATCAGTACAGTCACTGGGTTCCCCAATGTTTATTTTTAGTGCTCATATCTGCTCATCTTTGGGTGAGAGTAGACAAGGGATATCCCGGTGACACAGCTGTGGCTTGTATCTACCCCTGCCATGACTCCATGGCAGGGGTAGATACAAGCCACTAATATGAAATACTAATATGAAATAATATGAAATATGGAGCTCTCTGTATCTAATACCTATTTATGCATCTATCTGTCCATCATTGTTTATTCGTTAACGTTTCTACTCGTTCGTTATCTCCATTTATTCTCTGCCTCTCTCTAGTCTTGTCCTTGAAAAACCCCAGGCCTGTCTCTCCACATTTATTGCCACATTTCATTTATATCAACCCATCCTGCATCTTCCTCTCCTGACCATTTCTGCCCACTACAAATCCTTCCAGTGTGTTGTCCTCACCACCTGCCCCACCCACCCTCATCCTTCTATAATGCTGGAAAGTGCTGATGAGGGGTAATTCAATAGAGAGGAGAAAGCTTAGAGTCTCAGGACAGGACACAGAGAGAACAGCGGGTCAGCAGAGGACAGGATGACAAGCAGTCATGTTAAGGCCTAAAAAAGTTGAGCAACCTGAACAGTTTTAAGATTATATGTCAGGGACATGATCTCTAAATGCAGTTCATTTTATTTGTGTGTGTGGGGGCCTTCGTTAGTCTAATGATCAGGGCATATAACACATAACACATATTAATATTCACAAATATTGGAAAAGGTGAGTACAGGTGATTGGCTGGGAGTGTTGCAAGACACACAAGAATTGTGTGATGCAGGTGAAACCTTTATGTTGAATAAGTCCTGGAGTTCTAAGATGGTAAAAACCTAAAACAGTGAATTGTTACCCAATAGCAACTGAAAAGCTTAAAAAAAACACCCCAAAACAAAAGAGTCTACTTTGGGGAAAAATGTCTCATGCCCTTTTATTTCAGCAGCCTTGTTAGAGCTCATGTGGCTCCCTCTTTCTTTCAATTTCAATTCAATTCAAAAGGCTTTATTGGCATTAAGGTGTGTGTGTGCTGATGAAAGGTCTATGTTATCTGATGGATAAAGGGGTACAGTAGTCTTCTTTCTATCTCTCATACATGCGCCTACCATAAATTAATTCCTCTCTTGGCCTTGACAAGCATAAAGAGAAGCGAAGCAAAAGATAAGCGAATGAGAGAGATAAAGGGGAGGAGAGAGGCAGAGAGTTAAACAAGTTGTCGGGGTCCTGATATGATGAAGATTGATAAATTATAAAGGAAGCGGCACAAAAAAGATATGGATGCAGAGAAAGAGGAGCAAATTTGTTCTTTGATATGAAGGGAAGAAAGTTGAAAGGGAGGAGACATGCACGAGAGATTAGGAAAGTAATGGACAAAGTTTGAGCAAAAGAAATAAAAGGTGACATACTAGGAGACAGGGAGCGAAGAACAGAGGTTGTTTGGGGTAAAAGAAAGAAAGGATAGGATGTACAAGTTCAAGTTCAGTAAGAAATCTGACTTATTTAAAGAAGGGCCAAAGATGTGCATGTTAGGCTTTTGGAGTTTGGGCTTTTGGAGTTACAGGATGGTATCTTTAAAGCGGCATCACTTGTTTGATCACTTGAGGGTAGAAGTCCAGAACAGACTAAAAGTCACACTTTATGGGCTTGTACAATTGTCCATCCATTGTCCACCGCTTATCCTGCGTACAGGGTCGCGGGGGGGGGGGGCTGGAGCCAATCCCAGCTGATATCCGGCGAAAGGCGGGGTACATCCTGGACAGGTCGCCAGTCCATCGCAGGGCCACACATAGATGAACAACCACTCACGCTCACATCCACACCTAAGGACAATTTAGAGCCACCAATTGACCTATCCTGCATGTCTTTGGACGGTGGGAAGAAGCTTCTACAATAGTAATTGACATTATTTACATGTTTACACATCCAGCAACACGGAGCAACATCATTCCACTTGGAGTTGTTATTGTACTGCATGTCCAAAAGTCACTATGCTTTTTGCTCTTTAGTCTCCACCAACCTGACTCTTTAGCAGCTACATGCTCCACTATGTCCACTGGCTAAATGATAACTTGTCTGTCTGCTGTTTGGTGCTTGCAGGTAGCGTTCAGTGGGTATCAGAGGTTTTTTTTTCTTACAGCCTTTGCTACAAATGAGCTTGATGAGAGCGATGAGACTGAACCAAAACAATAAAACCAGCTGAAAGAAGTTCAAACACTCAGGGGAACTGCAGAGTGTGGCGATAGAGTAAAATTTTTACAGCCAACATTTTTAGTCTGTGCTTAATAACTGGGCAGGAAAAGACTGGACAGACACTGTCAGACTGCAATTCCCCCCTTTTCCCATCCCTCCATCCCATCTTCAAACTTTTGACAAAATAGAGGCAACCATGGCAGTAAGAAGGCACCAGCTTCACAACATAAAGATGACAGAATAAATAAAAGCAGACAAGAGTAAAAGGTGTGGATGTGTGTATAAACAAAAGAAGAGGGTCACACAGGAAGGAGATAATGTCTGAGTGCAGTCAGAAAAAGTGGTATTATTAATAGGCCTGTGTGTGATTTGTTAGTGCTGCAGAGAAAGCGATTGCACTCCAGGGCCAACGGTGTGTGCGTCATGTCTTGACAACCACCCCACCTTCCTGAAAATAGAGAGAATACTGAGAGGTGGGGATGTGGTGTGTGAGTGGGGGTATATGGGTTAAATTTGTATGTGTTCAGATGCAGCTATAAAAGTCTTATTGTGTCCTCCCTCCCAACTTGCTCATCTTACCTCCATCTCCAACCCCTCTTTCTTCTCTCTACTCCATTCTCTCTCGATCACCTTTCCTCTTTCACTCCTGTCAGGTGCACTCATCCATCCCTTCATTCAGGTAAGACAGAAAAGACATATTAAATGTAGCAGAGAATAGTTATTTGAAGAAAAAAAAACACAATCGAATTCATAGGTCAGCTGTTTTGGTCAGCTCTTGTGAATAGAAGAATGATGATTGCTGGAGTTATCTGTGATAAGCAGATCTGCTGCAATGATGCTCTGCTAGAAACTAAACTGACTCCGAAAATCACTGGCATCATGAATGTAAGGTCATCCAGGATAATGAAAAAAGTATGTCTTGAATAAAATGGAATTTGGTGTAATCAATTAACACACTGAGGCTTTATCAATTAGTAAAAATCACAGAATATGCCAACATTTTCTTGTATTTCTTTAAATTCTAAATCAACAATAATAATAATAATAAAATGTAGAAACTAAGGTTTGTGCCTGCAAGGAAAATATTTATTGATATCAGTCCAAAACAGTTTCTGCCTTTCTGTGTGGCCGTCTGGAACAACTATGAACACTTTTGATTTTTGACAAAACCTCGTACGAACCAGTTCTTTTTTTAGTATAACCTGGCTCTCAGTCCTTTAAAACAGAGGTCAGTTTACTGAAGAAACTGGGATTATTTTTCTAATAGTTTGTTCAGTTTAATGTTGATCTTTCACTTTTAACATCCCTGGCATGCTGAAATGTATTGTTTCTTTTTGATTTTTTCCTTCTCGGTAGTCTGTATCAAATAAAGGGTAATGTTAGGAGTAGGTGTTTGTCTAATGGGTGCTTTCTTGGCTCATGTGTCACCATGAACAGGTGTTTATGCAGAGTGCTATGGCACGGTAGCCCCGAAGTTAAGTACAGTAGTTAAACGTAATGCATATTCTAGATGTTTTTCATTATTGTTGCTATTTTGGCCAGACCCAGAAGCATAATGTTTTAATAAAATATCCTTTATAAATAACACACTTGATTCTGTGCTGACTGTGTTGTCTACTGTGCTGTAGGCTGATGTAACTTTCTGGAGTTCTCAACCAATGTTGGCCTGCTCTTAAGATTATTAAAGTTCTGCCTCCCTCTGGGAAAAAAAAGTTGCGAATGGAAAACTGACGGTTTGACATGCAATTCCTTTTGTTTATTTATAACACACTGACAGTCATGAACTGACTATGAAAGTCTATCATTTGACAAGTAGACAGACTATGGTACTGAAATATAACCTCACTTATCCCTCACATTTATATTTGTTCTCTGCGGGATAGATAGCAGTCATTGTCTCTACATTGCAATTTGTTTTTACATTTTAGGCTATCCTGAGGAAGGGATGGGCTCAAGGACACTTAAGACGCAGTTGTTGCAAATGGTGATAGACGCTTTGGCCTTTTGATTACAAGATGGGTTCTGTCACCCCTTCCTATAATCTGCAATCTTCAAAGTCAAAGATGTTCTGAAAGAACCTCTGAACTTCACATTAGGCGGATAGGAATGCTGTCACACATATGACTCCCAGAGATGACTGAGATACATATGTCATGATGTATGTGAGTTTTTACTACTATGTGAACAACACTGACAGGATATTAAGTTCCAGAACAACTAGGCAGACCAGAACTGTCTGTCAAGGTTTTTTGTTGACAGATAAGAGGTGAAATTATGTATCCAAATGACTTTTCTGTCTTAAACAAACCAAAAAACGATAACCTGACACATCTTTAGCTGGCGACATTTCCGATTCTAGACCAAAAATGAACGCGTGTGACTCCCAAAATACACCTTTTTCACCAATGGTTGTGTTGTTATAAAGAAAAATTTATTTGTAAGACATTATCTTATAAATGAGAAAACGTTTGCACATCTTAAGACTTCTCAAAAACCACAAATAGATACTAACTAATTTGATTTTGCTGCCAAAAATAGGTGGAGAGAAAGTTGAGTAGACACTGATTGGACAGAAAGGAAGAGGATGACTATGTATCTGTTTTTATCAGTCACTGTGTCCTTTGGTCAGGGAGGGTAAACATTTTGTTAGGGTCAAGACAGTGCAACCTGCAGAGGGACTATCAAAACTACTCTGCTGGAGCTCTGCAAGTCTCATATCCTCACAAGGTCACTATGTGGCATAAGAAACACACTGACACTAACACTCCCACAACGATAACTTACACAAGGGAGCTCCGTTCTCTTGTAGACACAAACATATCCATCAAACATCTGCGCTGAGAACTCAACATGTGTTCCCTGTGCTCAGATAAACAAGGACCCTGAGAGCATTCAGCTCAGTTCTGACAGCTATTGATATCCGCAGGGTAATAAAAGTGTACTGCAACTGGGAGATCTGAAGTGAATTTGAAAGTGGCCTGGTTGTTGGTGCCAGGCGGGCTGGTCTGAGTTCAGAAACTGCTGGTCCACTGGGATTTTCATGCACAACCATCTCTAGGGTTTACAGAGAATGGTTCGAAAAAGAGAAAATATCCAGTGAGCGGCGGTAGGTGGATGAAAATGCCTTGTTGATGTCAGAGGAGAATGGTCAAACTGATTTGAGATGACAGAAAGGCACTAGTATCTCAAATAACCACTCTGTACAACCACAGTATGTCGAAAAACATGTTGAACCTTGAAGCAGATGGGCTACAACAGCAAAAGACCACACCGGGTGCCACTCCTGTCATCTAAGCACAGGAAACTAAGGCTACAATTCACACAGGCTCACCAAAATTGGCCAATAGAAGATTGGAAAAACGTTGCCTATTTTAATGAGTATCGATTTCAGCTGTGTAAAGTCAGGTAGAGTCAGAATTTGGAGTAAACAACATGAAAGCATGCATCCATCTTGCCTTGTATCAACGGTTCAGGCTGCTGGTCGTGGTGTAATGGTGAGGGGGATATTTTCTCGGAACACTTTTGGCCCCTTAGTACCAATGAAGCATTGTTTAAACGCAACAGCATACCTGAGTGTTGTTCAGACTCATCAGAATAAGCTTTATTTGCCAGGCATGTGCCCACACACGAGGAATTTCACTCAGGATTGTACATTGCTCATGATGTGCTTACTTACAATGCAATAATAAGACAATAATAAAATCACACACAGGCTACAGAATAGAGAACACATATATACACACACTATAAACAAAAACAATATAGACAGATTGAGACAATAGTGCAATGAGCAGAGTGAAAGGATGCAGGAGTAAAATTGAGATGACCCCAGCGTACCCATCTTCTGATGGCAACTTCCAGCAGGGTAACGCACCACATCACATAGCTCAAATCATCTCAAACTGGTTTCTTGAACCTGACAATGAGTTCAGTGTACTCCAATACAGTATCCACAGACACCAGCTCTCAATCCAACAGAGCAGCTTTGGGACTGGTGGAACGGGAGATTCGCATCATGGATGTGCAGCAGACAACCTGCGTGATGCTTTCATGTCAATATGAACCAAAGTCTTTCAGGAATGTTTCCAACACCTTGTTGAAAGTATGCCACGAAGGATTGAGTTCTGAAGGCAAAAGGGGGTCCGACCAGGCGCTAGCAAGGTGTACCTAATAAAGTGGCCAGTGAGTGTATTTATGTCCCATTAGTGTATGCCAGACTGTATTTATGTCCACATCTTAAATTCTGAATTATGGCCTTGGATCATCTCCCCTCTTGTGCCAAGTTCCACAGAGGCCGTCTTTGAATGCCTGGATGTAATTCTACCAGGTCCACCAGGGTCAAAATCCTCTTTGTTTACGAACAGACTATATTAACTTCCTATCCTCTAGTCCTTAAGCATCTCCAGCACAGAAATTTTGTTAATTTTCTAAAAACCCACACATTCTTGTACACATGCACCCATAATGCTTAAACAGTTTTAAAATGTTTGTACCGAATCCCCTCCACTCTTGTACTTCCATTTCAGCTGTTGTCTGCACTGAACTCTTTGACATAATGTTCTTTCATTCCTCAGTTTGTACCTTTTCTGTCCTCTTTGTCCCTCTAACCAGCTGACAAAATGGCGATGACAGATCTGCTGAAAGCTGAGGAGATCAAGAAAGCTCTTGATGCCTTTGCAGGTCTGTAACAGTTGTAGGGTCCACACGCATTTTCATCTTTTCAAACTATTGTGTTGTATCACTTCACACAGTTTCACAAGCTATTGAACAACTGGCTGTGATAGAATTCTTCATGCCTTCTTAAGCTGATTATACAATTTTAATTTCCAAAACAGTTCAAACTGGCTAATATAAAGGTAGAACTCAGAACCTTTTGATGGTTTAGTCTGTACCTTCTGTCTTGTCTGTTGTAGCGGAAACATTCGACCCTAAAAAGTTCTTTGAAATGGTTGGAATGAAGGCCATGTCAGCCGAAAACGTCAAGAAGGTCTTCCAGGTTCTGGATGTGGACGGTAGCGGCTTCATAGAGGAGGAAGAGCTCAAGTGAGGAACTCACACGGACTCACAAATACACAAAAAGAAGTCTAGGCCTTCCCAATAAACTGCATTCTGTATGAAGTCTATGTCTTGCACAGTGACATGTGTTCATTAGTGCTGTCCCACAGTGTTCCTTTTCTGCAACACCCTGTACTGTTCTCAGGTTTGTACTGAAGGGCTTTTCCCAGGAAGGCAGAGATCTGACTGACGCTGAGACAAAAGCATTCCTCAAAGCCGCAGACAAAGATGGAGATGGCAAGATCGGCATTGACGGTGAGAGAATGGAGGAACATTGCAAAGTATAACAAAGTTTATTATAAAGAAAGAAGAGTAGGTAGAGTGTGGGGAGTATACAGTTTAGCATGTAGGCTAAAGGTGGGTTGCTGCAGCGTTGCACATCCTACCTCAGTGAGAAATGTGACCTCGATGTTAGGTGCTATGCGTAGGATTTTTCACAAAATTATACCAACATTTCTATAACACATTCATCAAACATCTGTGCTGACACCTCAGCCTTTGTTCCTAGTGCTCTAAACAGATCAACAAGGACCCTCAGCTCAGTTCTGACACCTATTGGCATCCACAGGGTACTGCAACTGGGAGATTTTATTATTAACCTCTGGGGAAACATGACAGAGCCATTCCACTCTTTATCAGCAGCATCTAGCTTTGTGTAGACCAAAGGTGGGCTACTGTAGCACATCCAACCTTTGTGAGAAATCTTACATGGATTTGAGGTGCTATATGTGGGGCTTTTCGCAATATTATACCAACATTTATCACTATTGCTTCCTGTTTGCAGAGCTGATGTTGCTGCTTGTTTACCTCTGTAGCAAAACAGCATCTGGTAGCAACCAATATGCACTTTGAAGAGCTAAGCTTTAAGTTAAAACAGTGGAAGGTGGGATATATTTTACACAACCTAAAAGTAAAAACTGACTCATTTGTTTATGATTTTTTTCAGGCTCGGGTTTGAAATAAATTGGATTGGATTTTAAAAAACACCATTATATATGTTAGCTCCTCTGGTGAGGTTTAGGTGTTCACAGAAGGTCAAGCAGGTCAAGGATTTAGGCTTGGTATACTCAACTCATTCTTGTTTTAAATTATTAGACATATATTATTCTGTAGTTTTTATGTTAAAAAAACAAAAGCAACAACCATTAATCGGTCAGTCAATTCAGTCAGTCAGTCAATAAAAATACGTGTGTGGTCATGGGAATGAAGGAACATTTCATCCAATGCAATGGGGTGTCTCACTGAGTTTTTGGACAATAATGAAGCTCTACAGCAGAGAGGAATAATAATGTCAGGCTATGGTTACACAGACAATACTCATTGTTGGTATTTTCATTGGATTGGTTGAAAACAAGGAAATATAGACTACTGCCAGCCTTATCCTTTAAGCACTAGGCCAGTAGAGTTTGTCTCATCATTTGTGCAAATATTTTCATTTGTCTTTTTCAGAGTTCGAAGGCTTGGTGCATGAGTAGGGGATAGCTGAACACCCCCCATCTTCTTCCTCCTCCTCCTCTTCGTTCCTGCATTCATATTTTGTAACTGCCACCTTAAAACTCCTCTCACCTTCCTCGGGACCCCGCACGTGGAGTCAGACCAGGCCTGCTCTCTACAAAACATTACAAACGCAGGCCAACAGGGAGTAACCATGAGGAGGAAAATACAGGCATAACAATTACCAGTTTCATTTTTCATTTTTTATATATATTTAATCACACATGCTGTATGAGTTTCAGACTGCTTCTTGATTTCATGGAGATAGTGTGGTCTCAAAACAGATGGTACCAGTGCTGTAGATGGTGTAGATGTTATAAAGACTTCTTAAATCTTAATTTCCTTCCTTTGCGTATTTCAGGTTGTGCATTTTGTCTCATTGGTTTTACTTCTAGATGTTCACATATCAGTGCACTTTCCTCCCACTCCTCTTCCTCGTCCACCTTCCCTCACTTCACCTCCTCTCCACTATCCCTCCTCCTCACTCCCTCCCTCCAATCAGATGATGTAGTAAATACAATGATATATAAGGAGAGCTGTGAAGAGAGACAAGATCTGAGTAAGAAATGATAATAAAAAAAACTTGAGTAATAACTGTCTCTTTACTTATTGTTACTCACAGCGGACACAAAACATTAAACTCACAAAACATAATACGCTGAACACTGCAATACATGTCAACCACAGTGAAGATGATTAAGACGGGGTGTGGTGAAAAGCTGCTGCCTTGATGAAAAACTATTACTGTCATGTGGGAGAGCTGATGTGCATCGTGGTGTATTTAGGATTAAACATAAAAGTGACCCAAGTCCTATTTGAAAGACTTACATTTTTTTTTGATCTGCTTCTGGCGTGAGCAACCAGGTAGCTTAGAATGAAGAGTGGAAATAGGGGAAAACAGCTAGAATGGCTCTGTTCAGAGGTAACAAAAACAAAAAAGGTGCTGGTATCTGGCTGTTTACCCTGGTTTCCAGTCTTTACGCTAAGCTAAGTAAGTAGCAGACAGATGAGTGGTATCAATCCTCTCATCTGACTCTAGAGTAAGCACATTTCACAAAATGTCTAACTATTCATTTAATATTTTACTATAAGAGACAAACAAACTTATCTATATAAAAACTTAAATACTGTACAAAGAGTTGATAAACCAACTATCGTAAAAGTGTATGGTTTTGATATTAAATTATTGTATTATTGATGTACTACAATATCACTTTGCTTTTGGTACAAGAAATAACTCATCTTAACTAACAATGTACAAAAAAACTCACCAAACCTTCCTCTGAATCTCTGGCCCTCAAAGCCTTCAATTTCAGAGATGACATTACATTATCCTAAAACAAAATTGTCTATCCTCCACAACCTGATCTGGCAGCCTCTGGCAGTTACTGCATGAGTGCTGACGGATCAGGGGATACGAGGAGCAGATCTGTCATTGGTCGTCGTGGGGCGAAGCTTCACAGTAGCGAATGGGTTTGTGCCTCTGAAACAAGAGGATGACAAAAAATGTAACTCAATACCTCACATGCTCAACTGCTTTCTGACAACACAATTGAACCACATGCACACATCCCAGATTGGCAAACTAACACCAGACTCCAGGCAGAGGATGGTAAATTTTGACATTGACATTGTTTTTCTGAAGCTCAAATTCGATGGTTAAACCATTTGTGGTTGGAATTAGGGATCAACCCATTATTTGAGGCTGACACTGATGATGATTTTTTTTTGGATTCATGCTTCAGTCTGCAGTACAACATGTTGCTAAAATTTGCCATATGCATAGCGAGAACCACAAAAAAAATTACACAATACATGCACCTGCACTTTAAACATGATCACTTTACATTTGTGTTAATGATCCAATATCTAGAATCTAAAAACTGTATTTTTGTTCAGGTGGAACATCCTGTGAAACAGCACATGCATGTCCACTGAAACCCAGACAACTGCTACGAGCACAAATCCATGCATCCATCGTCAACCGCTTATCTGAAAGGCGGGGCACACCCTGGACAAGTCGCCAGTCCATCGCAGGGCCACGCATAGACAGACAACCACTCACACTCACATCCACACCTCAGGACAATTTTGGAGACACCAATTAACCTAGTCTTTGGACATGGGAGGAAGCCGGAGCACCTGGAGAGAACCCACGCAGACAACATGCAAACTCCACACAGAAAGGCTGGGGCAACCGGGGTTTGAACCCGCGACCTTCTTGCAGTGAAGCGACAGTGCTAACCACTGCATCAGTGTGCCGCCCAAGCACAAATCCACTACTCTTTGCATTCCTGACACATGTGCCAATACAATGTCAGAAAGGTACTGGAATTCAGACACCAAACGTCTTTTTCTGTCAACCTATGCACACTAAATATTACCTGGGAAACAGTGGGTTTTCAGGTGGCCCATGGGGTGATAACGCCTAAGAACAGAAAGGATTGCCAAAACCAAAGTAGGATTAGTGTACCAGGATTACTTTACAGTAAATGGAAAAGAAGAAAAAAAAAGTTTTGCCATCTTTGAGAGTAAATTATTTTCAGAATTAAACCTCTGGTACCTGGACATCAGATGCAGATTCACCGTTCCTGTCAGGGAGGGGAGAGATTGGTGGAAAATCTGCAGAGGCGCTTCTAGGATTCTGACTTGGGGGAGGAGGAGGTGGCGGGGGAGGAGGTGGAGGTGGGTGTTCATTGTAGCTCTTAGTCTGACTGGGCTTTGTCTCCACGGCTGGCTCCAGCTTCCTCTCAGGTAGAGGAGAGATCGGACGGAAGTCTACAGAGGCTCTGCGGTTGGGTGTTGCTGGTGGCGGGACATCTCCATAGCTCTTGCTCTGCGTATGGTCAGTGTAGGTGTCAGTGGGGTCCAGCAGATTGTTCATACTGTGGCTTCTTAGAGAACCACCACTGAGAGGTAAAAAAGGAACACATACAGGCACTTTTAGTGATTCAAAACAGGACAGTAACCTGGAATATTTTGGTGAAAGATAATCCTTTCTCACTTTTGGGCTGGGTATGTTCCACAAGCCTATATGAGCAGCAATGTAAAAATCCATTTTTGGAACAAGTACAGCATTAGTACAGATATACTGTGTCGTGATCCCTTCCCTCTTTTTTCTCTTGGTGTTTGGCATCAAGGCAAAGTTTAGGAGCTGCAAAAGAGTGCTACTAAAAAGGTTAGGTATTCTGTCTCTTGTTTGAGGACACTTTTTATGCTGGTCAACAACTGTGAGTAGATCCAGTTTTCCAGGAGAGGGTCTCTCTAAATCCAAGGTCAACGTGTCATTCTGAAATCTGTCACATTTTTATTTCTTTATCCGCTGTAACAGGCAGAAATGTTGGCCTCTAAATTAAGGAGGTGGATTGTTTTCCTACATCTAAACTTACTGTGCAGAACAAAAGTAATTCTTACCTTGTTGCTAAAGTGTTGGAGAAGTCTTCAACGGGGGCCACATAAGCAGCAGGGAACCAGCCCTGACTGAAGGAAATAAGACAAATGAGAAAACAGCACACAAAACAATTACGTCTCTATAAATGATCTTGTCCTTGTAACAGGAGTATAGTATATTTTAATTACATCGTATTTTTCATATGTCATACTAGTATTTTATTTTACAATAATATTTTGTGCTCTTGCCAAATTAATAGCTTGTACATCTTTGACTTTACATTAAATTTGCTGGGATTTCTCTTCTCAAAACACTCCTATTCTTTGAAAACCACCCATTCAATATTCCAAGGCCATCTGATAATTGTTACAATTCCCATTACATTTTCTTTTGTATCATGTATAAGATAGCTGTTGTGACTTTAATCACAATGTACAATCAGTTGTACAAGGAGGAAGAACAAGACTAAGAATTTCTAAGAGATTTATCAGTTGCAGTTCAATCTGGCTGCTGACAGACATAAATATCACAGATTGTTTAATTTCCACGTTAAAACACTTTAAAAGCATTCGTCTTTTGCTCCTAAACCTGCATGTATACACAGACATCTTCAATCTCAGCTACCCACCGCAGGCTACTATCAGTGCGTCCATACAGCCAGCCGTTGCGCGGCTCCTGGACCAGTACGGTGACAGTCTCTCCCCTGTTGAAAGGTAGAAGCTTTGGGTTGGATGAGGACGGGTGAGACACCAGGGCTCTCATGGCTCTCCCTCCACCCAGACCCAGAGATTCCCCCACTGAGCTGGAGCGAGAGCGGCTGGGGAGGGGAGACGGCGCTGGAGGGGGGATATAAAGTGGAGGAGGAACAGAGTGGAAAAGACGAATAGGATGGAGAGAGAGAGACAGAGAGAGAGAGAGAGAGAGATGCCTTATGCTTAACACACCATTAAAAAACAATTTCAAAGACAAGTGTGGGAGAAGGGACTATTTTGGGTATTCATAAATTAATCCATATCCCAGAAAAATAATAATAAATCATTTACTCATTATTCTTATCATTACTAGACATCAATCCAAGAGCCACATTGTTTTAACTTAATGCAAATGTACTGAACAGTATCTACTGGCTGTGATGCTGTAAAGGAAAAATACTGCTGATCTTGTTTGGCTTCAAATGTCAGAATGTAACCACATTAATTTACAACAATTATATCTTTCACAAAGTTCAGCCTTCCTCCCACCTCTAGAGGGTACTCTGCCCAGTGCCTGCTGCTCCCTCCTGGCCCAGGACATATCTTCATCTCGGGCTACTGTCTGCAGCAGGGAGCTCACAGAACCTCGCAGCTGGTCAGAAACAAAATAAATTCTCTCTCAACATAAACCACCACACTAACTTGCTGTCGTTATAACTACAAATATTTGTATCAGTCATTAAGTAAATGCTTCTTACTAAAATATAACAAAGTAGTATACTGATAAAAGAAGTAAACATGGGAAATGGATGTAAAGGACTGTGCTTCATGAAGGACTATGCTCAAATAACGGCCTGTTCTCTCAGCTTAATAAGAACAAAGGACCTGGCCCCTGTTTGATTGACAGAGTGTGCAGTTTTTTTTACAAATCATGTTACTGAGGCCATATACAGACACTGGTGCAGCATCCCAAGCAGGCATAACTTCTTGCAGGCTGTCAGGTGCTCAGAATACAAATTAATTTAGTATAATGTTCACATTAACCCCTTAACGCCTGAAATTTTTTACAATAAAAAAATAAAAAAAATTAGTTGTATTTTCATTTGCTTTCAAGCTGATGTTAAATTAAGTGAAGATTGTTAATTTGTCCATAGAACACAGAAAAGATATAAATTCAGGTATGTGTAGGTATGATGCAAATTAGCGACAACAGGCATAAACGAGAAACCAGGGCTTGCAAAAGGTTCCTAGGTACGTAACGAATATGCACCAACAGGCATTGGGGGAATCCATGTGCTATCTTGGCTTGCAGTCTGCAAGGAAGAGGTGTGATGCAAATTCGCGACAACACATTGGTACCTGTGCCTCTTGGTCCAAATGTGTGGGAGTAAGAGGTCTGGACCCTCTGGTGTCATTCACTTTCTCCTTCCATCCATCTGCTTTTAGCTGGAGAGACGTACCAGTCTGAAAACAGATGAGAGGTGAGCACCTCATTAAATCTCAACCTGATCAGGCAGAAACAAAACAAATAGATACGCTTCAATAAGTGAGACACTGAGACGTGAATTTCATCAGATAATCAAGCAATTAACATGTTATCACATGGGTGGAATAAAAATGTAGTGAAGCCCAATGTCTTGGCCCTGTTGGGTGAAAGAAAACATGTAAGTGTTACAGAAACGATGTCTATGTGAGTAAGTATGATGTAAGCTAACCCGCAGCGTCACCTGGCAATGGACTGTCAAAAGTAATATTACATGATCATAACGTTATGAAAATTATGGTATGTTGTGTTATTTATATTATTGTAAAAGGTAACTTTAGCTATTAATATTCAGATCATATTTTTACAAAACATCTACAGTTCCCTTAATTTAGCCCTAATCAACTGAATGCTTGCAACTTGCAACGCCTGTATCTGAGGTAAAGTCTCCTTATTTCGAAAGGATAATGAGGTAGACGTTTTGTAGTAAATTTCTCATTCATATTCTGGTCATTAGTTTGCAATTTTGAGTAATTGTCTGCTTACTTTTTGATCAAGTAGAATGGATTTAGCTGGCCATGGTGCATCTTAGCCTTGCAACACAGGTAACCATTTGAAACTAAGCAAGCTTTTTAGTGGCCCAAAGTTAGCTCACTAATGTGCTCATTTCACTTTTCAAGACATGCCACAGGAGGGGGCAGGTTGATCTGCCCTGCCCAGTTATTGTGTGGGGCTGGACTGTGTGTGTGTGTTTAATACCTTGTTTATAAGGAAGAGCAGTGACTGGGTGAGGCCACAGTGTTTCTCTGCCAAAAAGCGATACCTCCTCTCCTCCTCCTTCAGGATCTCCTGCTGGCTCTGCCTCAGGTACAGCATGTACTCACTGTTCTCCTAAAAAACACACACAGGGAAGCATGCTCACATACAAATATGAGTGAGAAATGACACATATACAATGGTCCAGGAGAACTCCTATTGGGCCATATGTGTGTGCATGGATGTACATTGTATATAGTATATCTCAGAGTAAGTAAACCTGCGTAGTGTTTGTTTGTATGTAAGTTTGTGTAACTACCAGAGAGTCTCTGTAGGCTCCTCGTCTGAGTTGTTTCTCCAAAGCCTCTGCCTGATTCCTTACCTCCAGCTCATACACTCTGCGACTACCCTGTAGGAAAAGAAACACTCTGATGTAATAATGAAAAGTTTTCCTGAAATTGTTGACAAGACTTTTCTACAGACATCTCACTTTTTAGACTAACTACCTAAATGTCTTGACTGACTTAACCAAACAGAAGAATTCAGACTCAGATAGGTATTTGACCTTCTCAGAAAGAAATCTGTACATTTGCTTCATTTGGATTATGGGTGGTGCTGTCTCTAAATCAATTTCTGGTATTGTAACTGTTCTGCAGATAAGGAAGTGGGTTTGAGGTTCATGTAGATGAAAATGCAATTAATTATTTATTAGTTATTCTTGCAAAGTTGTCCACATCAACAAGTCTAAGATTGTCCAACCAAAAAGAAAAGTTATTGGTCAATTGCAGTGGAGTTCTCGTGCAGGATGTGTAAAGACACATTTTATCTCATATTAATATAGTAACTCCTTTAGTAACTATACCGATGAATCTCTAACTGACTCTCTCAGACTTTTCTTTCTATTCAGCAAAAAACTTCAAAATCAGAGAATGAAGTATACACAAACATAAAGCATAGTTGCTTAATTGTTAACCTAAACCATAATCCTAAACCAAACAGTCACTTCCCCCAAACTTCTCAACTTAACTCAGCCCTCAGAAGGGTAGATATAAAAACAAAGGCTTTTCCCCTCTGTAAACTCACATCAATGTACTCCTCATCCAACTTTACATTCTTCTCCATGGCTTGCAACACCTCTATCTGGAACCATCGAAACTGTAGCAGGAAGAAAAACAATGTCCCTGTGATGCAGCCAAGTCATTATGGAAACGGTCCCCTTGTTCAAACAGTAGTTTTCATTACCAGATTGATTATTTTGTTTGACTATATCTATATGCAAATGTGGTCCATCCTCAGCTTTTTAATCAGAGGCCACATTCTGCTTATTCACATTACTAAAAGCCACTGCAATCAACTGCACAGATTCGAGTGGCACTGTGAATTTTAAACAAGCAAATGCAAGCAGGATCTTTTCTCTCAGAAGCTTTCTGTAAAGCTCAGCTTAATTCTATTCACATCCCTAGACATATTTCTTAAATAACAAAGCCATGGAAAAGAAGCTTTTTTCCATGGCTTTGCAATTTAGCAAAATCAGCACACTACCATTTGCTATATGTCATTGCTACACGTTTATAATGTAAAAGTCAATTGGCTTAAGTAAAACCACAACTTGTTTTAGCAAGATGAACACTTGGGAAATGATTTTTATTTGATTTATTCAAATATGTCCTGATTGCCACCAAGCATAATTACAAACCAAAGAAAATATTTTAGGCATTTAAAGTCTTTGTTGAACTTTTTAAGACACTTCAACTCTAAGGTTTAGCCAGCCAACGAGTAGATTGGTTTGAATAACATGAGTGTTGACTAAAGACATATACTGACCACTCCCTCCATCTCTGCAGTGAGTCTCCTCTGTGTTTCCGATATCTGGATCAGGACATCCCCTGTTTAAAACAAAAAGACTTGGAACACTGGACCCAATCAACATACACATCAAATACCTGCAGTAACAATAAAAAACAAACCAAATGTGATGCGTTTGGAGTTCTGAACTATTTCTAAATGTTACATGTTATGTTTTCACATTATAATATATTTTATATTTTTTATTTGCACTTGCAACAAAATGTTAAAAACAAAATTGAAGAAAGAGTGTGAAATCTTTCATTTTACATCTCTAGAATAGAAAATACCCAGTTACACTTTGATTTACCAGTTATCTAATGCTATCACTAATTTTGGGTGAATTTATGTCCTACAAAAGAAAGGCACAATATTTTAGAGGGGATGTCAGTAATTTGATATATGACTTTAACACAATTCAACACCACTCAAGTCTTCTAGAGATTATTTTGCTCTAACTAGCTGGACTGCTATGATGGTGGAAAGTTAGCCAAGCCTTTTATATTTTCGGTGCCTCTAGTCTTGTCTATTGTTATTGATCGTGGTTGTGCTAATGAATTCAGTGCAGCTGAAAGATTGTCCCCATCTATAATTTAGGGGCTGTCACTCAATAGGGTCCCTGGTCACGCTGTGGCTCCCCGACCTTCTCAGTGAGCCAACCTAGCAGAACCACATGTGTCATGAAGTGCTAGCACTAGCATAAGGGCCCACACACTCTGGTATGTGGTAAGAGGTTAGATTAATGCTAATTACCACTAACAACGCTTTTCCACATACCCAGGTTCAGAGTGAAAGTGAAGCCTGTGGAAAATATGAACACTCAGAACTGGGTACATACACAAACACACACACTAGCACACACAGAGACTTACAAGAGAGGATGAAAAAGAGCAGTGGAGGGAAGTAATTTTAAGGTTACTGAGTATGTGTCTTATATTTTAATATGGGATGTGTCAGTATGATTGGACTCAACATTAACTTGATGGAGCACTTGGCCAGCTCCAGAAGACAGATCTGTTTCTATAATGAATGCAACAAATTAAGAGTGAAACCTGCAATAGAAAGACTGACTAATCAATCATATATACAAATACATACACACACACACCTACCAAGAGAGCGAGACGAAAGCGTGTGAAGGGCCTGGTCACCCATCTTTGCCACAGCGCTGAAGTAGGCCTCACTGCAAACAGCTAAGGCTGCAGGGCACACACACACAAAATTGCACAACAGCATTTTTAAATACTAAACATTATAAACATACAGGCTTTGGAGGAACATCACAGCCGGTTAAACTACTCCTAATTGGGTCAAACAATTCTGCCTTCATTCATTATGAACACAACCCTCACACTGCTGACATGTGATATGTGTTTTTGGTCTAGGAATAGCCCCATGTCAGAGGGTATAGTTTTACCATGCTGCCTTGTTGCCCTGTGGCTGACGGCCTGTTCTTTAGTTTTATCAGGCAGAGAGGCGCATTAATGATACATGATGCTCACCAAATTACCAATGTAACACACGATAATGAAACGTAGGCTGGAAGGATTAGTGAAGTCAGGCAACTAGAATGGATGCACTCACTCAAAAGCTTCTGTTCTAAATTTTGGTACCTCATGTTTTGACAAAAACAGGTTTAAATTCAGTACTGAAATATACATATTTTAAGTATGAACTTAATTTTGGCTCACTACTCAATGTCTCACTTTACTGTATGACTGTATGAAGCCAACGTGCCATACAAGCCCAGTGACTAACAGCTTCAGGAAAACAATTTTGCTCAATTACAAACACTAAATAAACTGTGCTGGTGCCAACCAAGGTAACAACTTTGAGTGCTACAAATGTTTTGCCATAACTAAGACAACAAAATCCAGGTACAGAATCTACAGTATTATGTCCTTTAATTCACATTTGATTGTGTATTTCATATTTTATACTTACAGGTAAAATATGTAAGAATTGACCTGTCAAATTCATACTCCATAAAATTAGATGGCAGCATCTCACATACCAGGTCACAAGTGTTGCTAACTGCCAATATCTAGTTATCTCAGTTAACAGTGCAGCTAACTACCGTAAAACTTTGGATAATAGCCCAAATCACTGAATTGACCCTTCCTATATATGGGACAGGCCTTTGATTCCTTTTGCACAAAACTGAAACTACTATGAAACAGTTTATTTATTTCAAACAGAATAATACTTTATCAAAAATGATCAAATAATATCAAATACACATCATTCATTTGATCTAGCTTTTGAAGTAACATCACGGTGCAGGATGAGAGAAGTTAGCAGACAGAGAGCGATGGACTTCACATGACAGGATTCACAACTTGTATAAATTTTTATGAAAAGCTGTTTTGATTCTTTTGATGGGTGGACCCTTACAGACTAAAGGAATATATTAAATAATCAAGGAACAGACACACTCCGACTTAACGAGCGCTTCAAAGGTAACAGCAGTCAGCACTTTTTTTTCTTTCCTCTCTTACCAGGCAGATTAGACAGGTAAATCTATAAGAATTAGACTTTGGGGCTTGTTGTTTCCCTTAAATGAACTGAACTATTGAATTGTGGAGAATCTAACTGATCTAACGATGTGCAGCATGTCCATTCAGACATATTTATAATATGTTTAAACATTAATATATCAGGCAGTCCCCGCGGGGTTTAGGAGGTTTTATACATCCAAAGAACTTCTATAAAAACTAGACCAGGCGTTAAATTGAGGCAGGCGTTTATTTGTCATAATGTGTTCCCACACCAGGCCAGTAAACGGTAAAGGGGGCTATTTGGGACTCGGCTATTAACTGAAGTTTTACGGTAAGCGCTCCTATTAGCTGACTGTCCAGAATGGGCGCCAGGGGCCTCGTTTATAACCGTTGCATAGTCACAAAAAAAGCGTGAAATGTGCCTATGCCACTTTGTAAGCATAAAATTATTAAAAAATACACTTGACAAGGAAATGTGTGTAGATTTAGGGAAACTGACATTTGCGTACAAATATATTGTAGACTGCGGAAATTGGCAATGCAAATGGTAAGTTGGTGAATTAACAATGATTATATAAGGATGCCTCTTACACATTTAAGTTAACTTAATATTAAAGTTAACTATATATCAATGTCATCGTAAACATTAAAACCAGCAGTGTTATTTGTAGGCTACTTGTGCTTGTAGTGAGCCATAAATATTCCATAAGCACCATTCAATTTGAAAAGATATATATAAGATATATATAAGTCAAATCAAATCTTGGCTTAACTGTAACTGTAATAAAATGTTCAACGGTTGCAGAAATCCAAGGTTATATCAAATGGCATTAAAGAACTGCTGAACACAGCTTCAGCAGCTTTTAATAATATCTTCTAACTGTGCATACAGTTTTAGTTTTCATATAGTTTTTGTGTGTAAAATTGCTGCAGTGAACACTCACTCTGCATTCTCACCTCGACTCACCCGGCACATCTTGGAAATAAAGCCGGTGACAACAGTCACTACCTTCCCAGGCCAAGAATAACAAAATGGACATAAAAAGTATGTCCACCAGTCAAACTTAAATCTTCAAATGATATCCCAGGTGGTTGGATACCACTGACTGATGCGATCATTTTGGCAAGATGTGAAGTAATCAGTATGATTGCTATAAACACAAATACTGCTTTTGCATAATGCTGCATGATGGATTCACTGGTACTGCAGAAAACAACCTAAATGGAAGGATTAGAAGGGAAATCCTGTTCAGGAACCACAAAGATTTTCTGGCCTATGATGATTACTGAGTAATACGGCGATATAGAGTCCCAAAAGCCGTGTTCTCTCATCTATGTGCGACCTGGGTCCAGCATCAGGCAAACCTACCCGATGGAACTGCACCAACCTGGTACAAATACAGTAGGCTATAAACCACTCTGGGATTTCTGGCAAACAGCAGTTACCAGCAAGAATTAGTCGACAGGCGTGTGTTTGATATGATCAACAATATGCTGTATATAATGTTTACCTTTCTGCCTAAAGCACTTTTTGGGAACAATATAATTCTGTTAAACGCGCTACATTTTCTTTTGTTTGTGATCCCGCTGCTGCGGCCATCAAACTATATGTGCTCTCTAACCTTCATCCCACAAACACCTTGATGTCTGTGTCAGAAGATTCTTCTTTGTCTGTCTTCTTCTCGGTTGTTGTTGCCATGATTCACCATAAGCAGGCTCATTTCTATGCATCAGCATTAACAAAGTGCTTTGCATTGACCATTCAGGGTTGAATGTGGGCGTGTGGAGGAATGGATATGAGGCTGATCTACTTGCGCACATTTTCACGCAGATTTGATTTATAAAGGGAAAGTTACCTGCAGGTGTGAGTAAGCAGATTATTTTATATTTTGGTGCATGGCATTTTGTCTTTTTTGGACCAAACACACTGTTTTATAAATGAGGGCCCACAACTGGACACAAAAATGGAACTGGGCTCAGCAGCCTCCCAGTGATCACAGCCAGACCCAGACTGAACACAGCCTCCGAGACCAACGGAGACCTGTCTGATGACAGGGAATTCAATACAGAGGTGATTTACAGCAGCTCCGGACAGGACTCTGACTCAGGGACAAAGAAGACACTGCGGGTTCAGGTGGGGACAGGAGAGGTGTCAAGCGGGAGAAGAGCGAGAGGGAGGTCGGGCGTCAGAGAGTGTAGAGCCAGAATATTTTCACATCTAACTCTGTGAATTAAGGGTTTATTTCAACCAAAAGGGCTTTGGTGATTGATGGAACAGTGGAAATACTAACTAAGACAGTTTTTGTGAGATTTATTTTGTTTCTGTCTTTTTTTGAAAGATTTGTGTTTTACGATGAGTTAACAAGGAAATTAGTTAGAGAAATTTAAATTGAGAAGGTGTATGCAACTGTTGTATTTTGCTGTTTAGAAAATAGGTATAAGAACATTTTTCAGAGTTTGTTTTGTTTATTTATTGAACTAAGGGGCTAAGACAGCTTGTGTAATGTAGCTTACATGACTCTGGCACAAATGTCCCAGCTTAAACTACAGGAGGTCTAAGCTATACTATCAGACTATCACCTCTTGAGGTACAAAGTGGTATTACAAGACAGAACAGGGTGGGCCAGGACTAGCTAGTTGTTAACCTCGACTTTGACATCAGAAGAACATCTTCTTCAGATTCTGTTGATAATGTTAGTAAAAAATTTTTGAATGTTTTCAAATAAAATTAAGGCCATGTCTTTTACAGTGCTTCTTTAAGTGCATTTAGTTTGTATTTCTGTGTCATGCCAAACATTTAGACCATCCTACATGGCTTTACCGTTATTTATTGAAAATCAAAAAGAATAACATCCATCTTCTTGTAACACATAAGCAAAATCAAAAGAAAAAAATAGCAGTTATATGTACTTCTATATACTTCTGTGTGTAAATTTAAAATTAAAAGTGTAAATTAAGATAATCAAAATAACGATTAGAAATGTCTGTGTCTGTCTGTCTCATACACAGAACACACTCATTCAATCACCCACATATTTACCCACCAGTCACTCACAGACTCACTCACCTTGGAAAGCTTTGACATAGCTGTTTCCTAGGGCAACAAGCTTCTGGAGTCCAGGATTGAAGTGCTCCATCAGATTCTACAGTAACACACACACACACACACACACACACACACACACACACACACAAAGAGAAATACATGCAAAGCAACACATCAAAAGAAACAGTTGTTACTACAGCTATAACTATAACACAATGAAAATTTAAAGGTATTTACCCCATTGATGCGATATGTGCTATTAGCTTTTACTAGTATTTATTGCTCTTACTAGTATTTATTGTTGCTTTTACTAGTATGTTTTGTCAGTTATAGATCTCGTGCTGTATTTGATGCTTTGTTGATGCTTGTATGTTGCTTCATCTCAAATGTAAGTCGCTTGTGCATAAATGTAAATGTAAATCTGATAGATACCCAAGTGACTCTGGCCAGGCCATGTTTAAATACACATCATATTTCTTAATGCCATTTGAAATACTACATTATAATTAATGTGTCTCAATCAAAAGTAGAGAAGAAGAAGACAACACAAACTCACCAAATAGACAGTTAAAGTTGATCTGTGCAGCTGGTCACTGGTGGCTCCCGACATCGTGACCAATTTCAAAGACAATATAATGTGAAATAAAGAAAAGGCCTTAAAAATGAATGTCAGACACAGAACAAACTCTTGTGAAGAGTCTGTATTCCCATGCAAACTTCTGAAGAAGTTTCCTCAGGCGTTTCTTGTCCTTTGTGTATCAACGTCTTAAGGCAGTGAAAGTCACCTTCACTGCAGTCCCACTGTTCCTGCTGTTGTTCCAAAGACCGATAACACCTGTCTGATAGAATGATAGTGCTCTCTCTCCTCCCTCTCTCCCTTTTTCTGTCATTTGTTAATGAGCTCCTTTACCTCCTCGTCATCAACAGTTTTCGTGGAAAGAACGAGTGAGCGAGTGAGCGAGGGCGATAGAAAAGGGAGTAGGTGCAATCAATATGACCGGGCCAGGTAAATTATTGATTGAACCACTGAAAGGAAAGGAGGACAGCCAGCTGCCCAACTAGCTGTGACGTACACTCACACCTACAGGAGGACTTCACAATGTGACATAAACTACTGCCTTAAAAAAGGTTGATATTAAGTACTCATATCCAGATAGATACAAAGGCATTACACCACAAATTATTAGGGACACTTGCTCTTGAACGCTTTAAATGCTGTGAGAATAGTACTCAGTCACACATACAGGTGCACCTGCTTCATAACACTCACTTTCATGGTGTATTTTCACATACGAGAACATAATTTAAGGATCACCCTCTCTGTCTATCAACATACTGAATCTAGATGAAAGCTACGATCCTTGACTCTAGTTGTCAGTCACAGAGGGCAAGTTGAAGACAGGTCTTTAAACAATTCACATAAAAAAAATCAGAAGGTGCAATTCTAAATTTAGATGGTGCTTCTGGTGTTTTGTACTGCAGTTGAACCACACTAGAAGTCCCCTAGAAGCTTATGTGTTATGTAGTAGAAATCCAAATAATAACAATTTTGCTAAAACTGTCAGAATCTGAGGACTATTTATTTATTATTCCTTAATAAGTTGAATTTCTTTAGTTGTCTTTTTTGTTTTTTTTTGTCAGTCAGTTTGTGTTTTAGTGTGATAAATTCATTCATCATTGTGAACATTACATTTCAAACAGTCAATGTCAATAAAAAGTTTTTTAAATATTCATATTTCAAATATGGAAAAAAAACAATTGGTAAATATTCACTGAAAAAACAAGGAAACAAGTAAAGACAACACCAAGTTATAGAATTCTTAAGAATAGCACGAGGGCTCAAATTGTGGGATTTTACTGAAACAAGTACATCTAACATTATCTGTAAGCCGACTTTGAAATGGAGCAACACAGGTCAAGACGGTCAAAGCAGTATTTTAACATAGAGAGAAATTATTATTGTCACAGAATGCAAACAAGAAATTACAAAAACTAAAATCACACTGTTTGTCACCAGTTATCAGAGATCAGGCCATCCTACCCAGCAGGTGTGACCATATCTTTCAAGTTGATAATGTCGTCATAAATGACCTCATCATCACCCCCATCTTCACTCCGTCTCTTTTGGCAATGACTAACAGTCTTAAGCACAGTTTTCAAGCGCCGATCGAGAGCAGCGAGGTGGGGATCTGACAGCAGTGCAGCCACACTATGAAGAGGATCATGGGAGAGCGAGGCCCTCATTACATCGCTGAGACGATACTGAGGCAGAGAAAGCAGACGGAGGCGTAGCCAGGTAGATCGACGGATTCTAGAGAAAGAGTGAAATGACAGGGAGAGGTGATGGAGAAAAAGGAAGATGGGGTGATTAGGGATGAAGAAATAACAGAAGAAAATAGGAAGAAAAAAGTGGGACACAGCGACAGATGGTTACAGCAGAGTTTTGCACTTTGGAACTATGTGTGTTTCCTTGCACTTCTTGAAACTAAGGAACTCTATCTTTGGCTACATCAGTAGTTTGTGATATTAAAGTGAAATTGTATGTTATTTATTTTCCTGACAACACAATCGAAGGACAAGTACAATTCTAAAAACATTTCATCACATTTAATCACATCCTCATTCTTACCTGCAACACTGTTTTAGAGGAGTTAGGATAGAAGGCTCATCTTTGGAGTGACGCCCGAATCTACAATGAGAACAGAGTCAGAGTCGGTCAAGCCACTTTGCATACAACCCCAGCCACCACTACAGAAGCGTACATTAACATAGACACACACTAACAGTTAGTGAAATACTCACGCTCTCCCATTGTCAAGGTGTAGTAGGAAAGTATTGTTGCCAAACTTCTCAAAAGTTTCATAATGGTGCCTGTCCATGTTACCTAAAGAAGGGGGGAAAAGGAATTTGGTTACCATTGTCAACAAAGTTCACACCTCCTTCCTAGAGTTTTGTGCTGTAAATATCCTGTGATATGGTGCATACTTAAGTATTTCTCAAACATTCAGTTGAAAACAGTTTTTTCTCTAACAAACACGTGAATCATATTTAAACAATAAAAAGTGCTATTTATTTTACTGTTTACAAGTCATGCAAATTTGTGTGCTAAAGTGCTAAAACTAAATACACGCGTCCTGACATAAATGGCTTTGTAATGTTTACACATTTGTGTGAGTGTAAATTGATTATAAATATGTGCAATGTTTTTGCTACATAAATCTAGACAGCTATTTACAAAAATATTTCAAAATTACAACGTGATACAATACAGAAAAAATTAGAACAGAGGATAACTGCATGTATATTTGAGGGTATTCTATGTGTGTTTTTACTTGTTGGTGCGAAATCAAATGCGAATAGACATTCATCATTTTAACAGCTTTCAAAACAACTGAAAACCAGCTGAAGCACAGGTGTACTACTAGAGGTGAGTCAGCTGGGTCAGTACAACATGACATCACTGTTCAGCGTGGTAACAGGTGAACAAGACCACACCCAACAGTGATGCCAGGTGGATAACACAAAATGCTATAAATTGCCATTATGACATTGTGTAAAGACTTTAATGAAAATCAAATATTCAAAACATTAAATAACGTAATGTGTAAAGAGGCATTATACAGCAACAGAAAGGCACATACATTTATGTGAACAGTTGTCCTAATGACAAATACATACACAAGATTTTTCATGTAGTATGAGTAAGGACTCTTTTATCAATCTACAGTTGTTTATTCGGCAAAAGCATCTGAGCGCCGGTCTGATGAATCACAGCAGGTCAGAGCATACTCACTAGCCTCACCCTTCTCAAACTGCACAAAACAGGATTTAGCTTGGCATGAAGTGGAAGCATAGTGATAATGTTAACATCTGCCAGTCCCCAGTTTCCACTCTCCCGCTCTCCATTGAGATAGAGGGGGCAGTGATAGAGTGGTAACTGTGAGGCAATCGATGGAGAAGCATGTGCGACCTGGACATTGCTGGCATCCTTTAAATGTGACCTTTTACAAGGGAAGGTATCTCGGTCAATATTTGTGCTCATGACTTGAGCCTTGACACAAACAAAGGGCAGTGAGCATGGCTGCAGCGAGTCTGTGTTCTCTAGGGCTCCTTGTTGTGCATCCCATGATGCCCCTCTCAGCTCCAGGCCACACAAATAAACAGCGTCCAGGGGAAGTGAGGCGTGGTATGTACTATCATTTAGAACCTGGAGGGAAGATAACAGTATAAGTAATCAACCGGCAGCGCTTGCAAATACTTGGAGCAATAATAGGAAATATTTCCATCTACTGGGTCCCATAACTGAAAGGCCATTTTAGTGTGATTTCATTATTTGTATGCTTTACCTGAAAATGCAGGGCTATATCACTGATAAATTTGCGATTTAATTGAGCAGCCTCTCTCATGACGGCTGCCAGAAACCCTCTGGGATTTTTGAAAGCAGATAGTCGGTAGGCACCAGGTGGATCTGAAGTGGTGTGGTGCCAGAGATAAGCACTGAGCAACTCTGCCCTCCTCTCTAAGTGAAACAAGTCAGTGAGCTTGAGGAGGGAAGCGAAGTTCGGCGTGCTGTATTGAATGGGCTGTTGAAGCTGTGAGAGGAGCAAGGACACCGAATCAATCAGATCATCCCACTCAGCCTGGAGGAAGCCACGTAGGGGACTGTGAGAAGCAGCTCCTGCATTTGTAACTGTGCTGTCATTCTTGAGTATGAGGTAACTCTTCAGAGCCTGCAGTCTGTCTCTAGTATGGCTGTAGGATGGCAGTGTGGTGGGCAGTTTTAGCTGAGTGTAGAAACTCCTCACTGTTCTTAGAGGAGTCTGGGAGGCCTGCAGTAGTATATTCAAATTGTGGCTATTGATCTTGATTATCTCAGCTGCCACATCTGTACTGAAGCCCAGTACAAAGAGGTCACTGATGTTCGCTGAAATCTGAAGATCGTGCTCTAAAATCTGCAGTAGTCCTGACAAATCTGAGGACATGAAACATAGCCACAATCAATACATTGTATTTACACAGAATAGTTGAGAAACACCCACTGTGGCCCTAATACATGTACTCCTTGCTACTTGTTGTTGTGATGTTGATTTAGAAATGTAGCCTAATTTAAATGCTGCAATCATGTAAGGTATCAGCTAGATGCTTAAGTTAAGTTAATAGTTAAGAATAAATATTTTAATGACCCCTTTCCCTTGGCTGACTGCCACATCAATCAGCTTGTAAAATGTATACTATGCAAAATCAGTGTTTCTCTAGGAGTTTTTTCAGCAGCGGGGGCAGGACAAACAGCACCCCCCCCACTCCCGGAAGAAACAGTCACACTTCACAAAACAAATACATTCAAGTTGTTTGGTTACCAAAGTGATCAGGATTGCTGATCATTTTTGAGAGGATGTGTGGTCCCCTGCCCAAGAGAGGTGACACTCTGCTGAGGCAGGTCTTGGCAACGCACTCCACCACTTCCAAATCTGCAGAGTCTATCACATGGGCGCCATGCACTAGACTGACTGTGAATGAAAGTACAACAACGTTAAAGCATACAGTAACTGAACTAGAGGGACAATTGTATCTGTTACTGCTGCCTCACCTGCAATATACTGCAAAGCCTTTGTCTTGTCATGGCAGAGACTAGCAATGCAAATGTGTGCATCCATCAAAACCTGGAGGTCTGCCTGGCTCCTATGAAACAAAGACAATCCACAGGAACAAGCATAAACTCTTAATACATCATGACATATTCACCATTTGAATAATATTCACTGGTTTAAAATACTGAAATATGCATTCAGGTCATATTTGTTTTTACTTTAAATGTATATATATAGGCAAAACATTTGCAATCACACCTCTGCCATATAGGATACAAGGTGTGGGCCCATATTCTCACCAATTGTATATTCTCCCTTGGCCTAAGTATTTATAGGTCTGTCTCTGCAGTAACACAGAGTGGAAGATGGCACAGCGGAGGAGGTCTGCTGTGACCCCCGACAGTGACTGACACCGTATGATGGACGCCACTTGTCGCAAGGAACAGCTCAGCTCCTCCTTCAGGTCCCAGGGAGAGTCACAGACCAGAGGCAGTGCACACATCCGTACTGCCGCTGTTTAATAATAAAAATAATAATCATTAAAATCATAATGATGATTACAACCTGAGCAAATCCATGAGAAACAGAGGAAACTGTTTTACTTGAGGCATTAAATTATACTGAACAACATTATAAACGCAACACTTTTGCCCCCATTCATCATGAGCTGAACTCAAAGATCTCAAAGACTTTCTGTATGTACACCAAAGGCCTATTTCTCTCAAATATTGTTCACAAATCTGTCAAAATCTGTGTTAGTGAGCACTTCTCCTTTGCCGAGATAATAATAATAATAATAATAATCTTTATTTGTAGAGCACTTTTCAAAAACAAGTTCCAAAGTGCTTCAACAAGTGCAAAGACAACAATACAAGCAAGAAAACATTGAAAAGACCAAAATACACGTTTGAGATAATATAAAATAAGTAAAATAGAATAAAATAAAATAAAGTCAAATAAGATCGGGAAAGGCTCTCCTATAAAAGTATGTTTTAAGAAGGGACTTAAAAGAGTTCACTGACTGATAATCCATCCACCTCACAGGTGTGGCATATCAAGACAGCATGGATACTGCACAGGTGTGAGCATACTCACAATAAAAGGCCACTCAAAAATGGCCACTCAAAAATGGGGGGTTTCACCAGTCAGTATCTGGTGTGACCACCGTTTGACTCATGCAGTGTAACAAATCTCCTTTGCATAGTTGATCAGGTTGTTTTGCGTCTGATGCTGGTCCACACTTCAATGGCTATGCGAAGAGACCCCGATGAGGATGACGAGCATGCAGATGAGCTTCCCTGGGGATATTCCTGACAAGTTTGTGCAGAAATTCTTGGGTTATGCAAACCGATTGTTGCTGGCCTCAGACGATCTTGGAGGTGAAGATGCTGGATGTGGAGGTCCTGGGCTAGATGTACTGCCAAATTCGCTGAAATGCCTTTGGAGATGGCTTACGGTAGAAAAATTAACATTCTGTTCACGGGCAACAGCTCTGGTGGACATTCCTGCAGTCTGAATGCCAATTGCACGCTCCCCCGAATCTTGCAACATCTGTGGCATTGTGCTGTGTGATGGAACTGCACATTTTCAAGTGGCCTTTTATTGTGGCCAGCCTAAGGCACACCTGTGCAATACCCATGCTGTCTGATCAGCGTCTTGATATGCTATACCTGTGAGGTGGATGGATTATCTCAGCAAAGGAGAAGTGCTCACTAACACAGATTTTACAGATATGTGAACAATATTTGAGAGAAATAGGCCTTTTGTGTACATAAAGAAAGTCTTAGATCTTTGAGTCCAGCTCATGATGAACGGGGGCAAAAACAAGTGTTGCGTTTATAATTTTGTTCATTTCATTCATTCATTCAGGAACAAAAATGTTGTGATTGAGAGAGAAAACTTAAAAGATTTGTAAAACTGTTTTGTAAATATTACTTTAATTAATATGGATATACTTTATGCTCTAAATGCATACCAGTGTACTGAGTATATTTTGTATGTGAAATTGATTTATGCATGATTACCCACAAAGCCTGGTTTATCCCTTGGACTATGGTTTTGCCGACTGACCTAGAAAGGAAGACTTGGATAGAGCAGTAATGGCAATATATCTACCTGGTATGGAGCATGATGCATATTCTTGAGTAATAAACCACAATCGGAAGCACGGGTGAATCAGGCATCGCTCCTCTGTGCGATAGGTACGTAGGCAAGAAAGCAGATACATAAATAGGAAGATTGGGTTGTAACTTTTTTGTTAATGAAAATGAATCATACAAATGCAATTTAAATTGCT